TATAATGTAACTGCATGATGTAGTCAGTTTGTAATTGTGCATTAATAATTCAAAAATTAAATAAATAAAGTAGGGGTAAATTTTGTTGACCTCAAATCATGTAGCAGCACCTTTATTCAGACCTTAGTAATAACTAGATATGTGACACCAGCCATGGTTTCTTGACTATTTTATTCAAGGTCAACTTTGACCGTGGGCACTAACAGTGAAGGTCAAGGTCAAATGTTTAGCCAGTCTAGATAGACAACATTAAAAATGATATCTTTAAAACTGTGGTCACTGGACCGATAACGAACAGACAGACAGACAAACAAATGGAAACGATTACATACTCCTTCCCTTCAAGAGAAAACAACTGTTTCCTGTCAGAGGGTTTAATTATACTATCAAGCATTTTAATATACATGATGCAAACATATGCTTATTTTGCACCATCAGTGTCCATGTTGGTCATGATGCCAGTTTGTTTGTTTGTTTGAGGAGTTTGGATCATTTCTGTGGGAAGCAGTTCAAGTCAGGTGATGCTCTGCACATCACTGTTTCCTGTGATGGATCTTCACAGACCCTCAGACGTCAGAGGGCCAGTAATTTTGTAGTGCCATGTTCTTGACACTTTCTTGACATTGGCATCAATTAATTTCTTTGGTGGAAATTCATCAGATTCATACAGTTGTATTACAGCTAAAAGATAAAATACCCGTCCAGGTGAACAAAGACTTTTTTTTTTTTTACAGATTTCATAAGTCTTAAAAGACTAGAAAAGAATGAACACAATATATAAAATAATGATACAATTCAGGGCACAAACCCCAGTTTTCTGGGTCAAAGGTATTTGGCCTCCTAAAGTGAACTGTATTGCTTTTTCTAGAATCTGCAAAGAAAAAATAATTTTCCCGTTACATACAATGCAGATTCATAAAATCAATAAGCTTCCCTCCAAAAGCAGGGGTGTCATAATTTATTCATTTAGACCATTTTGTTTACTATGTAGTAGTAATCTTAAAATGATTATATTAGTATTTATTGTTTGCTAAATATTCTCATATTGTTAAAGAAAAAGGAAGGCCTATTTACTGGATTATTCTATATTGTTTTGGGCTCACAAAATAAACCAGCCCCAGGTGTCTGTTGTTGTGAGCTGGTGTTACATAAATAATATTGAACTGAGTCTTACAGTCGTCCTCAGTGAACAGACTACAGTTTCTAAGGTCAGAGGCTAACCTCCAGTTTTTTGTTTGGTCTCAGTGTGAAAGGCAGATTTACATGAAGAAGCAAGGAAAAGGAAACACTGCCAGCATCCCCATTTCTTCCCCAACAGGGAGCAGCAGTGTGCAGGTCTACCATGACTATGAGAAGGTGGCCTTCAAGATGCATTCTGGAAATGGTCATGCTGCAGAAAACAGTTCTCATCCCAGGAGAGACCAGCTCTCCAGCCGAGCTAGTGCCAACGTTCCAGACATCAACTCCATCAGCCACGAAGAAAAGCGCAGCACGAAAGACGAGATTGGTCACAGGAGCTTCATAAGGACGATGGAGTCAAGCAGCCAGGGCTACTCGGGGCCAGAAGACAACTCAACAGACCCACATGAGACCCTGACAGAGACTTCAACTCTGACTTTTGTGGATGGACGCAGTACGGAGGAGTCAGCAGAGAGCCGCAGTCTCCACGGAGTGGGGATGGTTTATCTCAAGGAGTTTGTGCTCATAGATGATGATGAAGACGGGGATATGTCGCTAAGAGAGAAAACAGTGACAGACGTGTCCTTGATGGATGGAAAAGCTGCAGACCTGGTGTGCAGCAGGCTTTTGTCCACCTCCAGCGGTTCAGTGTCAGAGTACAAGGAAACATCTGCTCCTGACGCGCCTCCTCCTGAGGAGCCTGAAGCTGCACATGAAAAGAAAAGCTGCTGTTTGTGCACACTTTTATGACCCTTCAGGATCTCACAGCTTTGTGTCCATCATATGAACTGTGACACTGTCTGTGATAGAAACCTGAGCAGTCACTCGTGGTATGGGAAGCAGAAGAAGATTACATTCCTGACATGCTTTTTTAGCAACCAGCAAAACATGTTCATGTTCAAACATCAACCACTAATGTGTTTCAGTCAAACTGCTTTTTCATTATAAATATGAAATGTAGGAAACAGTATGGTGCATTTGATAAAAGTTACAGTAAGAACGATTTGATACATGCATGTTTCTGCAATAAACGGCTGGTTCTTGAAATATCAGGTGCTAACAAAAAATATAAGAAATTTCAGTATTAAAATGTCCCGCCTACTTATATTACTAATGTCCCAGTTTCATTTTGTCCATTTGAGATAACGCCACCTTTAATAATTGTAACAGCAGTGCACAAAGATCACAATGACTGATCATGCAGAGAAAGTCTTAGGTTTAGGTTGCCCTGGATCCTGTGTTGTTTTTACAAATAGATCCTCTTTTTAACTGCATTGTTCCCTCGCCATAAAATATGTTGGCGCAATGGTTCAGTGCTCATCAACAGCTGGCGTAGGCAAAAATAACTGAGTGCCACCTGAGTGTTATTTTTATTTGGAAGGAATATGTGAAACACATTTGTCAGAACTCAAAGATACAAACTGTGTGTTTCTTTAAGATACAACCCTTTTTTCCTGACATGCGCTGTGTCCATGAACTTCTCTGGCTATTACACTACGTTTTTGTGTGTGATAATGCAGGAGCCAGTGCATTCTGATCTGCTGTTTTTATTCAGCAGCTACCTGAAAGCACAAGGTATGCATGATGTCCAGTTGTGCTACTCTCACACCAGAACGGAGCTAGTGAGTGGTTATTTTCTGCTCTTGATGTGATTTATAGTGAGAGCCTGATTGATACAAACTTAAACGATCTCTAAAGAAGGACAAATTCAGACAGACTTGATTCTTTGAGACTGTCTGGAGTTCACCTTTGGGATTATTTTAAAGGTACAGTGTTTAAAACCTCACCACTAGATGTCAGTAAGTTGCAGTCAACTGGATTATATTTTGTTACCCTTTCAATTCAAGTGCATAATCCTAGCTACAGTAGCTGCTGTAGAACAATCAGCTCTGGCCACTGTTTATCTGTAGTGAGTCTAGGCTGTCAATCCCCTGTTTATTTCAGCTCTCAATATGTATCCATGTCTATTTGCTTTAGAAGAGGCTGAAGACCTTTGTGAAAGGAGTCCAAAAAGAGTCGACGAGACAGCAATGCTAAATTCTGTCCTATGGCAGTATTTCTGAGGTGAGTTCTTGAGGATATCTTTAACTTTCTGTCAGAAAGCACTGCTTTGAGCCTCTGTTAGGGTCTGCTCTCTCATACAATGTGAGAATGTAATCAAACTGTTTATCAGAGGAAAACTGTGTTTTTAGGGCACTTGCCCTAACATTAGCTGGTTAGCTTATAATGTTAGTTTTTAACCAGCTGTTGTTGTTTAGCCAGTTTGTTATCAGCTGTCTGGAGACTTGAGAGTTTCAAGTCTAATCTGCTGATGATAAGGAATTACCAATATCAGGAATAAATTAGCATGTTTATGCACGTTTTCATGTGTAAGAGGCCTGTCTTCAGTTCAGGGGTCAAACACATGCTTGTCACATGATGAGTTTGAGGCTGAGACAAGCTTGAAGTTGTAGTCTGCTTCTTTACATGGTTTATTGTTCGTTTGTGCATGTTTTATTGAGGAAGCTCAGTTTTGAAAGGAACTATTTGGATGTTTACATCATTTGAAACCTTGCTAAATACTGTTTTCCCCTCAGACTTGAGGGAACTTATGGAAAAGAAAGGAAAAACACTTGTTCATGTTTTACATATATTGTATGTCCCATAGACTTACATAAATATAATTGTTATTTATTCATAACGGTTGGACATTTTGCATTTATTTCATGCAATATAATTCTAAGGACCAAGTGTAAAGAAGTATAAATTCAGTATTGTTTTGAGTAGTAAAAATGTGAAATGTCTTGATACGTTCTCAATCATCCAGGTAAGCAAATCCCAAAAAGTTTCCTATTGACACTTACCAACCAGTGGACACTCTTTCAATGATGAGGATGTACACATCCTGAATGGGGAGGAAAGCTGGTTTGAGCACGAAGTCATGAGGCCATTTACGTGAAAAGGGAAAGACCATCTCTGAATCGAGGAGGGGGCCTAAAGGTACATCTTTTACCATCTTACAATGCTGTGATTAAAGCCATTCCCCAACTCTCTGTGAATGGTACTTCTGGCCACTGATCAATGGTTGTTGATCATTCGTCATGAGAATTTGCATATTAATGATCAAGGAACTGACCTCACAGCCCATTGTTCATTCAGTGGGCTGGTTTCAGTCACTGTAGAAATCTACTGTTTATAAGTTTGGGGAAACCTGCAGTCAGCTGAGACTGAAGAAGTCACTTGGATGAGTGACGAAACGTTTCTCCCACTGAAAACTCTACGTCCAGATGAACAGAATCAACCTTTTGGGGAAAATGTGAAATGTTTGAGGAGAAAATTATATAAACTGTGTATTTAAACAATCATGTACTATTGGATTGTAAGTTTATTCAGTTTTTTATTCATTTATTTTTTATTTTCTCTCTTTTCCACGTGATGTTACTCATTTGTTCAAAGGGGTCACTTCCTTGATGTTTGACTAAACTAATGGTTTTGTGATTACCCAGACCTGATGTGTGCTCACACAAACACACAGTTTTCACTTTGATCTTTAGTTTGGACAAAAATGTCTAAAACTGGCGCGTGAATATATAAACACACACACACAGACACACAGAGCGACAGCTATGAAGAGTTTAGCTTACTAATTTGAGTGACAGAAAACCCCAGTTAGGACCCTGCTGGGCAGAGAGATAGGAGCTCATCAGACTTATCTCCCCCTCCCACATCACCCACTGCAGACCCCTAGTTTCAACATAAATACAAAAACTTAAAACACCGCTTATATATTTATGGAGTTTAATCTAAGTGAGCCGTCACTTAGCATCGGGTAAACTGCACTTAACCTTCATGAATCCATAAGAGCTGTGTCAGTGGTTAACACCAAACTGGTGTAATGAGGAGTTTAATATGCACAAAACTAACTGTTACAAAGTGACACCATGTTTTTTAAGAGGAAATTCAGCAGGTTTATGGGGCCAAATATAGCTGTTATCAGCTCCCACAGCTGAGTGGGCAGTCCACTGTGAGTAGTGAACGTATCATCTGCAGATGCGAGTAGTAACTGAACATGCCAGACGATGACAGCTAAAACCACAAAACTGCTCGAGGACCATTGAGAAAAGGAGTTTCTTTCCCAGGGTGACCTCAGCTCACCCACTCACAATTCTGGTTATCAAATGCGCTCAGCTTAATAATGGTGCACAAGAAGGAAGTACATAAATAAAAATAAAAAAAATAGAAAAAACGAAGATGAGGACGAAGAGGTTTTGTATCGGGTGAAGTCCACAGGGAGACTGGAAGGATGGATGAAGGAACCAAAAGCGTGATTGTGTTCTTTCTGCTCTTCGTTTTTTCAGGTGAGAATCCTGGTGACGTTTTTCTCCCCAAGATTCTGATTTTATAATTACAACGTATGATATATATGACATAATGAACAACTTTAAGTATCAACATGATAATTGGAGAAGAGTCCTCTCTATCCTCTCAGGTAAGCCAGCAGAGGGTCAGAGTCTGTTGGATGTGTGCTCAACCTGCCATGCTAATGCCACGTGTGACGACAAGTCAGATGGCTCGGGCAAAGTTTGTAACTGCAAGTACGGCTTTGTTGGAAATGGAAGAACCTTCTGTCAAGGTAGGAAAAAAATAAATATCTGTACTGCTGCTCCAGTTAATATATTAAAAATTAATCAAGTAACTTTAATGTAAAAGAGGCTGCTCATAGGGATAAACCCACAGCGAATCAGCATCCACTTGTACAGTTTTCCAAGACTCCAAACAGCTCTTTAACGACTTTATGCTAACTATTTTGGTTTCATCAAATTTATCGTTTTTTACCGCCAACATCAGGATCATTTCTAGCAACAGCAGTGATCTGTTAGCACTCTGCTGCTGCACAGCAATCAAACAGTATGTAACCAAACAGCCCACAGACTAAAACATTACACGTATCTACCTGTTGTACAGTTTTCACACGAGCATCTCCACTGTCAGCATCTTGGCAGTAAAATGAGGGATGTGAGGAGAAGAGGCGGTCTGATTGACAAAGTGTTAGCCAAAGTTTTATATCACAGGCAATCATTTTAAAACTGAGTATGACCACAATTAACAAAGTAGATGCCATTTTTATTCCATATGACCCCAAACTAGATTTTACAGAGTTTAACGTGTTTATAGAGGTCACATCAGAAAGACTTCAATAGGTCTGGAAGTTACATGAGTTAAGGCATTAAGGCAAAGTTTCATTGGCTTTATTTTCCTAGCCTGAAGCTATATCCATGTTTTATGCTGGCTATGCCACAGGCGAGGTTAATAAGCTGGTGAGCATGATGGAGTATTTAGCAGCTCACAAGCTACAAATATAGCTCCAAATGTTGCTTTACTCAGTATGTTAACAACCCCTTGCTTCCTGACACTTGAAGGTATATATTATTATAGTTTCTATCCAAGAGGCCAAAACTAGACAGAGTCTAATCCATACTCACAGCTTTATGAGGTTGTACCTGTATGGACTATTCTTGGGTAATGGTGATTTGAGCTAAATGCTAATCTGAACTGGCTAATACTCGCAGTGATCCTAATTTAGCACGTTAGCATCATATTACATTTGATTATTAGCAAAAAAAAACACAAAATGCTGCTAATGCTGAGGGGTATGGAAATGGTTTAGTTACTATCCAAGAGGCCAAACCTAGACACAGCTAAATCCATACTCACAGCTCTATGAGGTTGTACCTATATGGGTTGTTCTTGGGTAAAGCTGATTTGAGCTAAATGCTAATTAGAACTGACTAATACTCGCAGTGATGTTAATTTAGCATGTTAGCATCATATTGCATTTAATAATTAGCAAAAACACAAAATGCAACTAATGCTGAGGGGTATGGAAATGGTTTAGCAAGTTTAATAAAGGCGTGAATAAGTAAGAAGTATAAAAAAATAATTACAGAGTTGTATTAATACATACTACTAAAAGGAATGAGTATTCGGGCCAGATTAAAAAAACTTTTTTTTTAAAATAGATTAAAGTCCAAATACTATTTTGAGAAAAAAGTTGAAATGTGGAGTCATATGAACTTGGAAGAGTTGGCCGGATTTTGTACAAAAAATAAACTGGCTGGCAGTGGACAGATACAAGGAAACTGATGGTTACACCCTCATGCAATAAAGAGGATTTATGTTGTATCAGACAACCTGATCTTCTGATACAGCCTGGATCCTCTTTGCTCCACAGAGGTGTAACCACTGATATCCTCGCATCTGTCCATTGCAGCTATTTCCTTTTGCACAGATGCAGTAAGATTCCAAGATTGTTTTTCCTTCTGAACAGATGTAGTTTTTTGCACCATCTCTTAAAAATCCAGAAGTATTTTGTAGAGGGTCAATGCTAATTTCATTAGGGAGATTTGAAACAACAACTTATTTATTAAAATACTGTAAAAAAAAATTCTTTTTTAGTTTATTCTTTTAAAAAGTATATATTTTAACCATAATATTCTATCATGCAGTTACTTATCTCACATTATTTGGGTTTATGAAAATGTCTATAAACTTGTAATTATTCCCATGGACCTTTTCCACACCTTTGACTTGCAGAAAAAAAATTCTTATTGATCGTTTTCTTTGTTTCTCCAGACAAAGATGAGTGTCAGATAGGATCCAGTAAGATCTGTGGCCAGCACACCACTTGTCACAACACTTTTGGCAGCTACTACTGTACTTGTCTGGCCGGCTACAGCCCTTCTAACAACATGGCTGTTTTCATCCCAAATGATGGCACCCACTGCCAGGGTGAGTTTGCGCTGTACCCAGGGTTTTTTAAGCAACACCTATGATATTAGAAATACATTATTAAATGAGCAAATTTTAAGCCACATGTTCATCATATCTCTTTGGCTGTGCAGACATTGATGAGTGCGGGATCACAGGGCAGTGTGGAGAGGGAGCTCAATGCAGGAATCTTGAGGGCAGCTTTGACTGCAGCTGCCAGGTTGGATACAAAATCCACAATGGAGTAGAACCCTTTAACCCACTGAGAGACAAAGCTTCCTGCAAAGGTGCGCTCATATGTATTTATGGGACATTTTGTCACTCATCTAGAGTTCTGGTGTAATGTCAAAAATATATGGCTCTCGGTTTGGCTCTGCCACACTACTATCTGGTTACTATTATAATGAAGGCTAATGTGAAGGTTCTCAGTCATCCAGGTCATGGTAGTCTAAGGTGCTTGGACAGAAAAGTGTCTGGACTTCTTTAAGTTTCTTGAAGACATTTCATCTCATCCAAGAAGCTTCTTCAGTTCTAAGAGCAATTGGTGGAGACTCCCAGATTTTTAAGCCCTTTTGGGAGTGTCCCAAAGAGGGCCCAGGGCCCCTAATCACACAAGCCAAGGTGTGAAAATGGGTGTGGGTCACAATCAGCCAAGGTTTCCAGTGAACCCATTGTGAAACCTAACCCCACCCTGTCATGTGATTTATTGAGAACAAATGACCCAGGATGTGAGTGGGCGTTAAGTCGTCTGAGAAGGGATCTCCCAACTGGATTATAGATGGCAGACAGTTGGTGTTGTAAGCCCCGCCCTCTGTCAAAGATGGTTGTTCACAGTGGACATAGATGGCTTCTTTCACTCCTCTTTCAAACCATCTGTCTTCTCTGTCCAAAATGTGAACACTGACATCCTCGAAAGAGTGACCTTTGACCTTTAGATGCAAACGTACAGCTGAGTCTTGACCTGTCGAGGTTGCTCTATGTTGTGCCATGCGTTTATGAAGTTGCTGGCCCAAGGTGTTTGGAAATGTTGTAGGTGTTGTGAGGTAAGATGGCGGAAGAAGCCTCTCAGATGAGAGATGAAACATCGTCAGGACACTTAAAGAAGTCCAGACGCTTTTCTTACCAAGCTCCTTAGACAATGACAGTCAATCTTGAATTAAATCCATGCAACCAGTTGCTGTAAAGAAAAGCTGGATGTAAACCTAAGTTGTGTATAATCCTGTCCTGCTCAGTTGTTATCTGTGGCCCACTTGCACTACTGGAGGACACGGTGCTAGTGTCAGTCACAGGAACTACGTACAGCAGCGTGGCCACATTCATCTGCGATGAAGGCTTTGTGTGGAGGAGGGGAGACAACAGCTCTGTGTGTGGTGCTGAGGGGCTGTGGAGCAAACCTGACATGGTCTGTGAAGGTAATGAAACTCTTTGGTGCTTGTAGCTGTTGTGATGTTCGGCTCTGCTTAACATTATGTGTTTTAAAATGCATTCACTGATATTTTCATGCTAACACTGGAGACAACACTGTGAATCTCAAGGTGATTATCTGCCAAATTTTTACTTATTCAGAGGATTTCAGGATCATTAAGCTCATTACTCTTTTGTTTGGGTCACTTTTGATGAGGTACCCATTTAAAAATACATCATTAAAGGTCCTTATTGTACATTTGTCTGTTTAAAAATATGTTAACCCTCTCAGAATTAACAATGACTTTTTACAGATGTGAAGAAACAAGCGCCATAACTTTATTTCCACAGCATCTATGAAATGTGCGAGATATGAACTGAAGCTGAACGAGAGCCGCACGTGATACCAATCGGTACCACAATATACATTTGAATGTAACCTTTATTTTCCAGGCTAGTCATTCAAGGGACACAAAAGCAAAGCCTGATGAGGAAATCGAGAGATTAGAAACAGCAGCACATATCAGAAAATATCTGAACACATCCACTGGTGAAATGCTGCCCCCTGGTGCTGAAAGTTTTGTTAAATTCCATAAACAGAAATGACTAAAACCTTAAAGTCATGTGTCACATTGGAGAGTGTATTAATGCTGATTTTCTTCCTAATATGCTTATAAACCTAAAAAATGTTTCGTTTAGTTTTTTTTTGCTGAAACAAGTTACTCTAATACTTGTTAAGAGTATTAATGCATTATTTTTACTAATGTAAAAACTTGCTTAATAATAATAATAATAATAATATTTGCATGTTTTTTCCAACATCCAGAGAGTTTTAGCCAGTGACAGGATTGTTTATGAAATGGATCAGTTTGAGTTGTTGGAGATTTTCAGGTGAAAACATTTTCACGCAGCATGTCACTACTTTGGCTCCCAGAGGTTGACTGTGGTTCTCCACCTGCCGTCCCTCACTCACGCTTGCTGTGGAATAAAAGCACAAGGATGGGCACTGAGGTGGTTTATCAGTGTAACTCTGGATATCATAATGTTGGAAAGAGAAATGTCTCCATCTGCACTGCAGCTGGACAGTGGGCGGGTCCATCTGTGCTCTGCCGAGGTACTGTCACTGTACTTTCATGCTGATGAGGACTATTTCTAATCGAAAATGATTGACTGACCGAATTAATCTGAATCCTTTGTGTTACGTTGTTGTGGTGATTGTCGTTCCTTGTAGAGATCTTGTGTGGAAATCCTCCTGTAATTGAATTCACTGGGCAGGTGTGGAGTTATAACTCCACCCCTGGCAGCACTGTGCTCTATTTCTGTAAAGACGGCTTTTATAACAAAGGAGGAAATAATGTATCCACCTGTCAGGAAAATGGTCATTGGACATCCCCAACTTTGTCATGCCAAGGTAATCAAACAATGGATTGTTTTCTAATGAAAAAAAACCAGCATTAAATTATTAAATTCAATTCAATTTTATATAGCGCCGAAAAAACAACTGTCACCTCAAGGCACTTCATATTAACCACATGGTGACAGTGGGAAAGAAAAACCCTCTTTCAACAGGTAGAAGCCTCTGATGGAACCAGGCTAAGAGGAGGAAGACGGGAAAACATCATAAGGACTTTTGAAAAAAAACCCAAATAAATAAAGGTTTAATGTAGAGATTTAATGAGATAATTCAAGATTATTAAAGAGATTTTTTATAGGTGGCACTCAGTAAATTGTCAATTTTAAAAAGTCACTTGATTTTAAGACCCGGTCGGTCCCCTTTGATTATACCTGTTTCTCTTGCTATGACAAACTAAACTATATTGTTCAATATCTTATTGTGAAGTAAATTAAAATGTCTTGTGCTTTCAGTTGTTTTTATAATCCTCCATAACTCCCCTTGTGTATCATTTCCCGTCATAGAGATATTATGTGGGAATCCTCCAAATCTGCCTCACACTGGACAAGTGTGGAAAGGTAGCTCCACCCCAGGAAGCACTGTAATTTACTACTGTAAAAAAGAATTTTATCACAGTGACGGAAACAATGTTTCAGTGTGCACAATTAATGGTTACTGGACAAAACCAGATATCTCATGCAAAGGTAACATCTTTCTTCTGGCGCTCTCGAGACACAAATAACTGTTTATTTTCTTCTGTTAAATGATAGATTTTTTTCATCTGTAGAAGTTGACTGTGGCAAGCCCCCACTCATCCCTAATTCAGTCATGCACTGGGATAAAATTTCCACTGTGGGCTCAAAGGTTATTTATCAGTGTAAACCTGGATATCTCAGTGCTGGAACAGGGGATGTATCTGTTTGTAGTGCCAGTGGAAAATGGGATGGAGCACCGATCCTTTGTCAAGGTGACATTTAGCTATGAACTTGTGTGTTAATTACTGTAAAGTCATTTTAAACCACTGTGCAGTTTAACCATACACAATTCAAAACTCATTGAAGCATTGCTGACAACATACATCTAGCTATTATCACCCACAATGACCAGCTTTCTTTTTGTTGTAGAAATCAACTGTTGGGAGCCTGTTTTAAAACCCAATGCTAAAATGTTATGGGATGGCACATCACGCATTGGTAGTGTGGTTTATTACCAGTGTGCAGAGGGATATTACACCAGGAGCCTGAGAAACTACTCAGTATGTGGAGAAAATGGACTATGGGAGGATATTGATCTGTGGTGTGAAGGTGCAGATTATTACGTAATGCATGTTCAGGGGCTGTTGTTGTCGTTGTTATGGAAAAAAGGCATGTTTGATGGAGGATTGGACAGTGTGTCTGTCTTGTTGCATTTCTTTATAGCCCACAGTCTGTGTTCATTCATGTCTGTGTGTCAGACAGAAATAAGCTGTGGTCCCCCAGTAGCCCTCCCCCACGCTAACCTCCTGTGGGGCCACAACAGCACACCGGGCAGCACTGTGCTGTATGAGTGTATGGAAGGATTTTACCAGGAGAGTGGGAATAATATGTCAACATGTTCACTATCAGGAGAGTGGGGGGAAGTATCTATAAAGTGTAAAGGTAGAGTAACGATCTCTCTGTATCTGTTCAGCAGTGGGAGCATGATTATTTCTGATTATTAGCATGCTGTTTATGTGTTTGCATGCTTATTAATTTGTTTGTCCCTGCATGCTCTGTGGGTCTTAATATTTTTCTTTATTTCTAGGATTTTGGTTTCCTTTAGGTGCATGCTGAAAAAACAATGAATAGCACTATTTCTGAGTCATTAAACAATTCACTCTTGCTATTTTCCAGCTAAATGTGGCCCAGCTCCTTTTCTTGCCAACTCAGAGGTCGTGTGGCATAATAGAAGTGTTGTGATCCACCGCTGCGTGGCAGGATATCACAGCTGGAGGGGAAGCAACGTCTCTGTGTGCGGGAGCTCCGGGGAGTGGCAGAAAGCTACTCTGAGATGCATAGGTAAGTGTCAGCATACAGTTAAAGCCACAGTTCTCATTGTTTCATTACAGGCATCTGGAGGAGATTCCAATTGTTTAACTTGTATTTAGTAGCTTTTCAGTGCATCTTTCATTATGGCCCAAAGAGATTCTGATGCAAGTTAACAAGGCTGAAAAGCCCCCAAAAAGGAAAACCTTTCATAATACCCAGATCAACAACCGGTATTGGTAAAACAGATTACTGGCCTTCAGAATACTCAGTATTCTTAAAAGAAAGGACTGTGCTGGCCAAAAGGCCTGAAAGACTGCAGAAGACAACTAAAGTGGCTGACTGCATAATTTTCATTACATCTAGCCAACATAAGAACATTCTTGATGAGGTAGGTGAATGATTGTTAAAGTCTGCAACCAAGAAATTCTTTCATGGATGGAAATATAGTGTGTTTACAACAAGGTGCAAACCACTGGTTACACTCAAGAACAAGAAGGCCAGATTAGTCCTTGTCTGATAAAATAAAATAGAGGTTGATCGGTTCTGGCAAAGATTCTTTTGATGCAAGAAAGAGATTAAATTGTACCATAATGATGGCAAGAGAAAAGAAGGGAAGAGAATGAAAGGAACTGCTCATGTTCCAAAGCACAGCACACCATCTGTTAAACACGACAGAGCCAATGCTTTAGCATGGGATGGCTGCCAGTGGAATCAGGTCTTTAGTGTATGATTGATGACGTGACTGTTGATAAAAGTAGCAGGATGAATTCTAAAGTGTACAAGGCGCTACTCTCTACTCAGATTCAGCCACATGCTGCACAACAGACTGGATCGTGCTTCACAGTACATGTGGATAATGACCTAAAGCGTAGCTTTATGTTGCAAAGAAATGGGATATTCTTCAGTGGCCAAGTAAATCAGCTGATCTCAGTCCAATGGAGCATGGTTTTTATTAACTGAAGACAGAACTGATGGAAGAGTGCAGTATAATTGTCATAAGCTTTGTGGATTGTTGTTATTTACAGAATCAAAGACAGGAGGCAGAGAGAAAACTCAGTGTAAGTTTTGATTTTGATTTCCCAGGTGTTAAACAAAGTTCAGAGTCCACAGAGCAGTTTACAGAAAACTAGGAATCCATAGATCAGGAAATACTAAGAATTCCAAACACAAGCAAACTCAGCACTAGATGATCCACAGTTAGAGGGATGACTTGACAAAGGACAAGGAGAAGCTGAAACAATAAATACAAGAGTTGATGGGGGAAAGGAAACACAGTTGAAGATAATGATGGAAGATGAGAAAAGGGAAGTAAAATAAAACAGGAAGTAATTACTCAGAGACAAAAGACTAACATAATACGACACAATCCGGTTGTTCAGTGATGACGCAACGAATCCTACTTCCGGGCCTAAAGTAGTCTGCGTTTAATATGGCTTTTGTGTTGTTAACATGTTTAGTGTTATGTATTTTCTTCTATTTGAGCTCAAAAAGCTCCTAAAACAGTCAGTGATCCCTGTTGACCTCCCTCGGCTTTTATTACCGCTAATCATTTATTTAAGCTTTTTAAAACCTTAGGATGTAACTACAGCCCAGCCCATGCAGCAGTATATGAATGACTAACCTCGTACTGTGGATGGATTATCTCAGTTGTTCTCCTGGCTGAAGTTTGGTCCTTTTACAGCATCCTGCCATGCGATTACATTTGTTCCTGACCACCGAGAACACTCACGTTAACTTTTATCGAGTGGAAAAAAAGTTAGCTTGTTTATATTATGCTAACATAGCTGTGTCGCTAGCGGTCACGTAGCACATCATTATATACCAGCTAGCCCAACTTCAGTAACCCTACAAACGTCACTGCTTTTTAGTTTTCTGTCTTCATTTATGCTGGAAGTGATAGCAGAGTTGTACGTTTTAATTTGTTTCCAAAACCCCGCAGTCAGGACATGCTATATTGTATTTAGATAGAAGCTAGCGAGCTAACTCCCTGCTAACTTCCAACTCCGTTAAATGTCATAAATTCCGTTTTCATGGATGCCTGGATGTTAAACTCAATTGTTACACCTGGTAGAGCAGAACGCTGATCATTTTATTAAAGATGAAAGACTTTAGACAGTTTTTCAACTCTCAGTAATGCCATAGTGATCGTTTGATATATGGACCTGCAGCGGAGTTTAGGTCCAGACACGGCTAGTGACGTCAGACTGAACAACTGGATAGAAAGAATAAGAAAATAAGTGACTGTGCCAAATAACCCTAAAGCAGAATATTAATGAAATAATCATTAACCAAAACAAATAATTGAGGCTCAGGATACTAAGAAATGTGATCATCAACCACAATCAAACTAAGAACCAAATGGAACATTAAATAATAAACAAGAATTACATCCACAAATTAAACACTGGTTCTGAAACCCAGGACCATAACGATAATAATACAGTACAACAACTGCATGACTGTCCATGACCAGCCTGTAGTGGGTAAATACTGTGGTTGACATGTTCATTATATCCCACAAAATGCTTTTTTTTTTTCATCCACAGAAATCAAACCACCTATCAATCACCTGCTTATTTTTAATGAAAGCTGCCTGCAGTGGAAAGCAGAAAAGTACGAGGAGGACACAGAGGTTTACAAGGTCAGATAAAACATCACCTACCTTCTTTAGCAACCAGGACTTTTCTCCATGACACATTTGGTTTAAACTTTCTAGGTGACTTACACTGGATCCAGGGACTACCAGAGATCCTTTTATGACAAAAGGAAGAGATTTCTGAGCTCCAAAGCAGACCAGCTGAAGCTCTGCCTTGGCTTGCTTCCAGTCACAAACTATAGCATCACCATCACTGCAACATCTGCCAAGTTCACAGCCTCTGTCACCACAAACACCAGTCTACCAGGTAGCAATTTAACCTCAACTCTGCTGTAGTCTGATAAAATTATTTCCAATCAATGTACCAAATGTATTTCATAAATAAATAAAAGTATTGTGCATTTTATTCCCTTTGTTCCCTTTATACTAAGCAAAATACTTTATAATATGATCTTAATCAATAGTACCTCCAGGACCAGTTGTCTACTACAGGGAATTTGACACTCCTCTACCAACGTTGAGTCTGCGCAGATCACCCAACACACTGGACTTAATAAGGTATCAGCATGGCATGGGGAAAGATATCTGATATCTCTGAATCCTTTCCAAACAAAATCATGAAATGTTGCATGTTAGAGTTAATTTTTTTGTCTTTTTTCTCCCAGTTTGTACCAAGTGTTTGTGCTTCCTGTAGAGGGGTTTATGATGTTTAACTGTTCCTCTCCTGCAATCGCGCCGCCTTTGAGCACACTTAAGTCACCAGCGGAGTACATCACTGCTCAGTTTGAAGTCCATCGTGTTGGAACAGAGATGAATCTTACTATAGGAGATGGGCTGCTCTATGGTGGCTTTTATAATGCACCACTGGAGAGTGGCAAGAACTATTATATCATTTTACGGGCTGTCAGTCAGTGGAAATCGGTGAGTGCAGCTATTCTATGGTTAAAAAGTAATGACTGAATATGTTCGACGGACTTTAGCTGCATGTCTTCTCTCCTAGGCCTTAAAAAGTTCCTGTGTCCTGTGGGCTAAAGTAACAGGTAATGCACTGTGAAGCAGTCAGCAAGATCATTTTATCCACCATTATGACACTCTCAATTTACCCCAGTTTCCAAAGTGTCACTTAGTCACAGAGACTTTCTTCATTCCAGCTACATCGTACGCTCTGAGGGTTTCATCGCTGTCTGCTGTAGCTACCATAGGGCTGGTTGCCGTGGTTATTTGGGGAGGCTACAGTATCCACTGGTATGGAAGATGGCACACACTTCATTACATTCCATTTTCACACTATTAACATAATTTCATGTCTAAGTAGACACACTGATCCATCAGTATATTAGTATAATGATCTATAGTTATAGTTATAGCGTAACGTCCCTCTGTCCTTGTTTCCAGGTGTTTCAAGAAGACATGATGCTCCTGAGTGCTGACGTGCTCTAATACTGTCCTGAGTTTCTAGCAGTACATTTTGTAAATAGTTATTATTTTATATTAAATATTATCACCATATTAAACTTATTAAAATCATTTTTTGACACAGACTCACATTGTGGTTATTGGGTGTGCAGAGGTCCTCTCTTCTGTTCCAGGATCTCAGGGTCAGTTTATGATACTAAAGTCCTTTAAGAAGCAAGTCTTTCCTGTCTGCAGAGCACATTAAAATGTGTCAGAGCACTCATCAGGACACAGAAAGTGTGTGAGCAGAATGTCTTTCTCAACTTCTGGAAGACTATGTCCTGGTCAATGGTGTGATGAAGAAGAGACTTGGCTTCCACACGTTGACCTGTTGTTTGCTGGTCATCAGTGAAACCAAACATCCTTGGTGATGTGGGCCCTCTTAGTTCTACTCTGTTTTGTGATGCAGTCGTGGTTTTGGATTAACGTTGCACAGTTTTGACACACCACTTAAGAAATGCTCTGAATGTCATAGAAATGCTCGTAGAGAAAGAAAGAAAGTGCAGACAATGTAAAGTGTATATAAATATATATATACCCCTCACACTTTGAAAGTCTTATCTCACACTACAGCTGCAGTGCAAACTCACATATCCCTTTTTGGAGTAAAGATCCTTCAAAGATGGGAAGAGTGACACGATTCCAAGTGCATGAAACTCCTTTGTCGCTTTAGTTAGAGTTCTCCTGCAAAAGCAGAAGTGTTGTTTGTGATGAGATTCTTACCAGAATGAAAAATGAATGGAATAAACATCATGCCTCTTACCCTTCCTTTTCATGCATGTGAGCTACAATGATCTTCACCATTAATCGCCTGGTGGAATCTTTCAAACTCCCAGTTTATTCATACTCATGGATGACAGTCACCCCTGCTGGTTTGGAAGTTGGAATCTGCTCCACTGTCTAAATAAATTTGATACAAACCACAAAACAACTGACCAAAAAAGGAGACAATTTTAACCCAAACAACTATTTGTTTTCCTCTAATCTGTTTTATCTTCGTGTTTAAGCTTTTTCAAGTAATGGTCACTAAAGAGCCAAGTGTGAGCCTATTAAGTAATGTATCAGAATCAGAATACTTTATTGATCCCTAGGGGAAATTATTTTGGTTACAGTGCTCCAGTTCAAACAGTAACAAAGACAGACAGTACAAAAAGTAAGGAATAGCACAATACATACAATATATACATGCATATATATATATATATATATACATATAAGTTACTTATTGATAAATAGCTGAATAAGAAAGAGCATGTGCAAAAAGGGTGTAGCTATTGCAGTAAGTGTAAGTGCAATATGTATGTATCTACATTTCTTGCATGTATGCTGTCCAATAGAGGCTGAACCATTTGACATCCAGCATCGCTTGTGTCACTGCTCTGAATGCTGGTGGTTGACACAGACAATGTATCTGTTAGACTTGGGGAGGAGGGCTCTTCCAGATGTTGCTGCAGGACAGTCAAATATGAGGATCACAAATAAAAATATTAGAATATAAGGCATATACAATCAAAAATCAACCAAAACAAAACTACCATTTATGAAACTTTTTGTCTAAAAAGTTTACTTTTTGGACTACACCATTATGAATGATCCCATAGTCCATTTCTATCTCAAAAATCCTATTCATCATCCTAGTCCATATTTTTTTGTGCATGTCATTATTGATCACTAAAGAGTTATGACGTATCATAAATTATAACTGTCATAGACACATATTGCTTCCCAAGTCATTTGACAGGGGTCCATAAATCACTGGTTTGACATAGTGGTCTTTGTGTGTATAGGATCACAAGTCAAATCTGTCAAAATTCTTCCATAGATTTCAATTCAAGATTCAACTACCAGCTCGCTTTAGTCTAGACTTGCAAAAGAAGTGTATAACCTTTCAGATCACCTTCCCACCTTGAGCTTATTCTATGGCTGTGAGCACTTGAAATCATTCACCTTCAAACCACTAACTTATGATAATAATCGATTATCTGTCAGAGACCTAAAAAAAAATGCTGCCACAAGAAATACTGAAATATTACGTTATTTTACAAAGGTTACTCTTGGGACCTTCAGCAGAGACTGAACCTGATGACAGATCTGATGGAGCCTGGAAGCTAAAAAATCTGTCCACACCAATTATATAATCTCGAAAGGAGAAAAAGATGGCGTATTAACGATGGGGCTGGAATAATACCACTAAACAGTATTATGGGGCATATTTGAATGTGGAACGCGTTTCCAGAGACAAGCCGAGAGATGTGTGTACTGGGCCTTTAAAGGTGTTTTGCATCCGGAGCAGCTCCCTCATATCCCCCAGACAGGCCAACGTCTCACCTACAGCATCACAAACCAGTTTGTTTACAAGGGCTTAAGCAGGTACGCAACACTCAGTACTGCGAGGAAAAAGTGAAAGTGCCGTTTTAGAGCTCGTTATAAAGCAACAGTGAAGCATGTTATAGGACAGCCTGGGCGGCTGGCTGAACAGTGAGGAGTAGGCCGAGGGGACACATAGAGCTGTGTGATTGATGCCATTTAGCAACAGTACAGCTAACGTTAGCCATGGACGTGTTATACCAGATTAATGTATTTTTTGGGGGGGTTTACTCAGGTTTACTCTAAATAAAGGCCAGACTTTAACCTTGCGTTAGCTGGGCGCTACGCTAATATACTCAGACAACGATAGTCAAGTTGCAGTGTTCGCTTAAAACAGACCGATAATTTCATATTGTCTTGTTTATCGGTACATTCTGGCAATATTGTATCATTAATACACCCACATTTCCTTTTAATGCGTTTCTGAGTAAGGCTGTAATGGCTATTCAACACTTTCATATTTAATTTAAATATTGCTCGTCAATGATGTTACCGCCGTGAAAAGCAGTTATAGTAGCAGCCGATTTAAATTAGCATTTTTGTTGTCTTATGTCACACTGGTCAACGCCGAATTAAAGCGTGGACAGTCATTTTCAATCGGACATTGAAAGATAACCGCTAACTAAGAAACTTTTGAAAGTGATAGCCTTGTAATTATTAAATTGACCGGTTTGTGAGTCGAGTCTGGCCTCGAGGTCTCTAGGCAGCACACGCAAGGTTGATTGTTGTGGTTATAATTGGTATGGCTGTAATTGACACAGGTGACGTTAACTATATAAACTATATAGTGGGCGGGTACATACACACACACATATATATGCATGTGTCTGTGTATTTATTTTACTTTTTAATTTTTTTTAAACAAAATCTTTAAAATGTTTACATCCAGGTAAAACCACCTGCCACCTAAAGTTAAAAATTTTAATCTGTGTCCGGATAGTGCGAGACCTTAGAACAAGGGTGGGGGAACTCCAGGCCTCAAGGGCCAGCGTCCTGAAGGATTTAGATGTTTCCTTCATCCAACACAGCTGATTTAAATGGCTGAATTACCTCCTCAACATGTCTTGAAATTCTCCAGAGGCCTGGAAATGAACTAATCATTTTATTCAGGTGTGTTGACCCAGGGGGATATCTAAAACCTGCAGGACACTGGCCCTTGAGGCTTGGAGTCCCCCACCCCTGCCTTAGAACTAGACTTGATTCGCAAAATTTATAGTAGCCTATTCCTAGGAGAGATATTCAGTCTTTGTATTTTCATGTTGGTCTACTACAGCTGCTGTGGTCCCCTGGTTCACTATGGCCCAGAACCAAGTGATTCTGCAGTTCCGCTTCGCCACATTTGGAGACTCCATGCTACAGAAGATGAACCTTCTGAGACACCAGAGGCGCTTCTGCGATGTTACTGTTCGCATCAACCAGCTGGAGGTCCCTGGTCACAAAGTGGTGTTTGCTGCTGGCTCCTCTTTCTTAAGGGACCAGTTCATCCTTCAGCAGGACTCCAGGGAGGTCCAGATCTCTATGATCCAGGAGGCAGAAGTTGGCCGACAGCTGCTGCTGTCCTGCTACACTGGCCAGCTGGAGTTTCCTGAGCTGGAGCTGGTGCATTACCTGACAGTGGCCAGCTTCCTCCAGATGGGCCACATTGTAGAGCAGTGCACTCAGGCCCTCAGCAAGTTCATCAAACCACAGGCTTCACGCCAGCTGGAGGTGGATGTAAAAATGCGGAGGGAGAAGAGGGAGGAGAGTTTATCCTCCCAGGCAAAGATAGAACAAGAGCGCTCTCAGGTGCAGACTGTCCATCAGGAGGAGGAGGACGAGGAGGAGGAGGAGGAGGAGGAAGAGGTAGTGGAGCAGGTGGAGCAGGATAATAACGATGATGAAAGCGAAGATGATGATGTGATTATACAGCCCAAAAGCCCTGTCCAGATCTTGACCAGGCGTCCAAGGCAAGGCATAGTGGAGAGTGACATCACTATAGTAAAGGTGGAGTCTGTGTCTGATGTTGCAGAGAACTCCATCACCGGTCACTTCTCCACCAACCCTCCTGCAGAGCTCCACTCCCCTGAGCCCCAGCACTCGCTCATTAATTCCACCGTTGACAGCCGCAGCAGTGAGATGGCGGTTCCGCCTGGCGTGACGGGATACCCACTTAGCCCTCCTCCTTCATCTCCACCTGCAGAGAAACACATCGGACACCAGAGGAACTACGACAAGCCTCTCCAGTGGTACCACCAGTGCCCCAAGTGCGCCCGAGTCTTCCGCCAACTCGAGAACTACGCCAACCACCTCAAGATGCACAAGCTCTTCATGTGCCTGCTGTGCGGCAAGACCTTCACGCAAAAGGGCAACCTGCACCGGCACATGCGCGTTCACGCCGGCATCAAACCCTTCCAGTGTAAGATCTGCGGTAAGACTTTCACCCAGAAGTGCTCGTTGTTGGATCATCTAAATCTGCACAGCGGAGATAAGCCGCATCGCTGTAACTACTGTGACATGGTGTTTGCTCACAAGCCAGTTCTCCGCAAGCACCTCAAACAAATCCACGGGAAGAACAGCTTCGATAATGCAAATGAAGGCAGCCTGCACGACGGCGGGGTGGACTTTGAATTCGGACGAATATGAGATCACTTTGGACTTACTGGCTGTGCTGTTTGAGAACACAGTAACAAAGGCGGCCACGTGAGTGAGACGTTCACTGACGTGGATGATGGGTTACCTAAAGGATACAAACATGAACAAAGTTTTTCTGATCGGCACATCACTGTAGCTTCATTACTGTGGACTATTTGTCTTTCTTTTGTACAATACAGTGTAGATGCCTTCATCTCATACTTGAAAATTGAAAAACACTGAAACGCATCATAATGTTTGAACATCATTAGTTTTATTAATGCATTGCCATGTCTTTGTGTCTACCCTGTCCTTTAAAGAACTGCACAATGAACAGTATCCATTTTTATGTTGTTTATGTACACAATCTGCTGTATGATTACTTTTTAAACTGTATGACTATGGCAACGTGGACTTAGGAGAAACTTGAAAGAGTGGAGATGCAACATTATTTTACATAAGGCAAGCTATGTCATTTTGTCTTGGTGGCCAAAGTGTCTGTTAGCCTAAGGGGTCTTCTTTTTTTTTATAGAATTTATATCTGAGGTACTATTGGACCAAAGTGACATTGTATCTGTCCTGTGTTCATGGAAGTCAATGTGAGTTACGAATAAAGAAATATTCTTAACTGTTGCTTTTGTTTTCTTACCGTTACTCATTGCTTCATCGTTCACGCACAATAGAAAATTCCCATGTTAGTGTCCAGTCTGTAGTAATGCTCCAATGCCGTTCTCAGTGTGTGCTTGTTTTTACAATTTTTAATCAGATCGAGTTGGCAGTATCTGAAAGTGGCATGGAAATTTCTGGTGAGTTGTTTCAACAAAGGGTTCTGTGTTTCCTGCACTTTCAGTATTTCCACATCTTGAAAGAAGATGCTGTACTCTTTTAAAGAGAGGTTTCGCACTGCTTCACAAAATGGAATCAAATATTATGTCTAATTCTATGCTTTCAGTGTGTATCCGATGTTGAACAGCAGAGATGACAGTAAGAACCTGTTAGACCTCGTTTGCAGCCACGTCTTGCTCACTTTGGAACTGGTTTATTTAACAGATGGGTCCACATGATTCGTCATAAAGGTGAAGGTGCACGGTAAGGTGAAATACCCCACAACATCTGAGAGAAGTCCCCAATCATAAGCTGACCGTTTATAAGCAAGCAATTGGCAACAGTGGGAAGGAAAACTTCTTCTCCTGACAGAACCAGGCTCGTGGATGGGCAGCCATTCTCCACAACCTGTTGAGGGTGAGAAAAGGGAGATGTGTTTATACAGTTACGAGTGACATTTATGAAAATGTGTTAAATTAACCACTGGCGACCTGTCAAGGGTGCACCCTGGTTCTCTCATTAAGACAGCTGGGATAGGCTCCACCCACCCCCCCAAACCCCATCCCCACCCACCGTGACCCTGACAAGGATAAGTGGAAGAGAATGGATGGGTGGATAGCATTACCTTTGAAAGAATAAAATAATATACAGTTAAAATGAATAGGCCTACTGTACCCAAGACTAGGTAGGCTTGCAAACCTTTAGCAGGACTGATATTTTCTCCAGTGTAGTTACTTATAGTTACTGCCTTTGTATATGTGTATTTATATTACTTAGATGTTGGCCCAACATTTATTCTTCAGAAGTAGAAAGGTGGCAGGAATAAATCCTTCTGTTTTCTTGAGCCAAGGCTGGCTGTTATTGCACTCGAGGCAGCCCTATGCTGGAGCGTTGTGTTTTGACCCAATATTTGTTTTGGCTTTCTACATCAAATAACCCAATACAATTAGTTAAATAATCGTATTTACAGCAATGTACTTAAACATGTCCAACAGTCTAATGTCAGCATAAAATAAGTTTACCATGACAGTATGTAAGTTGTCTAAACTGGAATTAGTGTAAAAACACTATGCTTAAAATTGTATTTGCCAAGCAGTAAATGTGATTTGGATATAATGAATTTGAATAAGGACGGCTTTGTCAAGTCGTCATTGTTTCACATATCTTCATTGGTTCGTGGTGTAGCCATGAGCAAGTCAGCAGGCTGCTGCAAGAGATTCCTGCACTATGCTTTTGACTACGAAACACCAAAAACGCTGGTTATTCCCAGCTTAGGTGTAGGATTTGTGTTCAGGTTCACCCAATTCTTGGTGGTGATGTATGTGGTTGGGTAAGTACCCAATAAAATCAGAGGAGGGGATTGATTGGTTGGGGATGTGGTAATATGTGGATTATGAAATGATGTTTTTGCTTGCACAGTTAAACTCAGACATTTCTGCAAACCTGCTGTAGGTATGTGTGTGTGGTGCAGAAGGCCTACCAGGATACAGATACTGTCATCAGCACCGTCACCACGAAAGTGAAAGGTTTCGCTTTCACCAACACATCTGACACGGAGCCTCGTTTTTGGGATGTGGCTGATTATATTATCCCTCCTCAGGTACTGAAACGTGCATTTTAGGATTTCTGTCATTTTATATGTGAGGGGGGAGAACAGCATAACAGGTTTTGGCTTTTTTCATTCCCTGGAAACTTTTTCCCTGCTCTACTTTCTGACAGAGTGATCATTCATTCTTTGTGCTGACGAATATGGTTGTGACCCCAAAACAAGTGCAGTCACATTGTCCCGAGGTGAGTCACTGCTGTTACAAAACAGATAACCAGAGCCAAGGGTCGGCCATGTCTTGCCAAACTCGCACAACCATTGATGAAGACCATTAGAGTGCCAAGTACATGGTGATTGTCCTGTATTAACAGCTTATTTTTTTCTATTACTACATTTCTCTGTGGCTATTGTTTTTCAGTTGGGGGAAATCATAAATATGATTATGAACCCTTTTAAAGTCAAGTGTATCATATTTTCTGTGAGTTTTTCCCCCACGGCAAGTAAATTGCACAAAAATACCTGATGCAGGAAATATGGCACAAATCATAACTCATATAGCCAAATGGATACTTATCTAATTAAAAATTGTTAGAAGACTCAAGAAACTTCAGGCTTTAAAGGGTTAAGTATTAAATACTTTTTAATGTTTGCATTAACCCTTTAAAGCCTGGATAATTTTTTAAAATTGGGAGCTTCTGACAAAGATTTTTAATTAATTTAAAAATGTAATTAATCTGTTTGTGTCATATTTTCTACATCCAGCATTTAAAAATTTATTTATTTATTTAATTGTTTTGCATATTATTGCTTAAAAATGTTTGTGAAATTTATTTAGGATTTTTAACTTCACCTTCAAATATACACATTAACACTGGAGATTTTTCCTGCAGCTTCCAAGCCCATCAACTACTTGTGTGGATGACTGCAACTGTGTCGAGGGACGCAGTGATCCCCGGGGCAACGGTAGGCCTTCCTCCCTGATGATACAGCCCCTTTAATATTTGTGGCCTCACGCAGCAAAAACTCAGCGTGAAATTTATTTTCCACCCAGGCATACAGACGGGACTGTGTGAGAACTACTCCACCACTGCACGGACCTGTGAAGTGCTCTCATGGTGCCCACTTGAAATAGACACTAAGCTGCCTGAGTAAGAATATATTTACCATGTTAGAATATTTGTTACTAGTTCCAGGACTGTGGAGGCTTGATGTGTTGTTTCATGTCCTGCAGGCATGCGCTGCTGGTTGCAGCAGAAAACTTCACCGTGTTGATCAAAAACAGCATCACGTACCCAAAGTTCAACTTTCACAGGTCGGTGAACTGCATTTGAATGTAAGAGGGAGATCTGTAGATGCTTAAGCAAACATACAGAGTCACAGTTTTCCCCATTAAACCGGAGCCTTGTCCTCCTTCCTCCAGAAGAAACATACTGCCTCATGTGAACTCCTCATACCTGAAGAGGTGTGAATTCAGCCGTCTCACAGACCCACACTGTCCCATATTCAGACTCAAGCATATTGTCTCAGAGGCTGGGGAGGATTTTCAAGACATGGCTGTGAAGGTGAATCGAATGATCGTTGTCTTTCTGTACTGGAATTCATTGTTCAAGTTCCTGTATGGTCTTCCTCCAGTATATATGTCTCATAAGCAGGATGTGAGCCAGTACAGCCCTCAGGTTCCCTGGCTCCCGTCTGATAGTCACTCCCACAGTTAGTGTAATGTATGCATTTTTATGTTCTCTGTGGTCGCTCCAGATCACAAGGCAAAAACCTTTCTAGCTTCTGTGCTCTGTGCTGCGATTAAAGTCTACCATGGGAGCTGAGAACAGCTGGAAATGCTGAACTCTTAAAGCCATTTTTTGGCTTTCCATTAAGTGTGGTTGAGCACTATGTAGCTGTTTCACCTTCATTGTAGGATACATTGTTTTACATGGTTGTCTCTTTAAACTCTGAAAAGCGGGTATAAGTTAACATTTCATTCAGTATTGCCATATTTGAACTTAATAATTATTGTCTTACTCTGTTTTCAATTGTAGTTGGTGTTTTCAACCAAATTTTAGGTCCTTACAGGTTCTTATCTATATATATTATGATCATGGTTGCCTAGCAATGGCCATTGAAGCTTCTTTTTTTTTTTTTTGCATTTATGCTCCTACAATAAAACACATTTTACTATTTCAGTTTCATGGCCAAAAGCACAAGCAGTCATTAAAATACTGTGGCATAGGCGTGTACTAGTTTTATACCATTCTTTGTTATTGTTTTTTGTCCAAACACTACTTTTTGTAGTGACTATTATATTTTAATTGTTGTGTTTAATTAGATCAGTACAGATCTAACCTAAATTTAAAGGTGCTAACTGAATAATCCTGAACTGAGTGATTTGTTTTACAGGGGGGTGTCCTTGGTATTCTTATTGACTGGAGCTGTGATTTGGACTGGTGGGCAGGGGAGTGTTTACCTAAATACAGCTTCCGGAGGCTGGACAACAAACATCCTGTCAACAATGTGGCCCCTGGTTACAACTTTAGGTGAAAAACTTTCTTTCTTTTTTTTAAACAGACAGGTACTGATGAATGTATAAGGCTGAATAAAGAACTGCTAAAACTTCTGTCTTTTAGATTTGCTAAATACTACAAGACAGCAGATGGAGAGGAAACCAGAACGTTAATCAAAGCTTACGGGATCCGCTTCGACGTCATTGTGTTTGGAACTGTGAGGCCTGACTAATCTTGAAACAGCAATGATTTTATCAAGAACGGTCCGTGTTTTTACTTTAGTCTTATGGTAGTTTGGGGTTCTTACAGGCAGGAAGATTTTCCATCGTTCCAACCATAGTGAACTTGGGTGCAGCCTTGTCATTCCTCAGTTTGGTGAGAAGAGAAATGTTCAGACTAGCATCCGTATAAGTGATGAAACACCAAATTTTAAATGTTTTGACTATTTTCGTTCAGGTGCCCGTGGTTGCTGACTGGTTTTTGGTGACTTGCTCAAGGAAACGAGATCTTTACAGCAGACACAAAACAACACATCTCACTGAAGATGCAGACAGTGCATCGGTAACTCACTTTTCTCCTTCACTTTCACTGATGATCTTAGTACTGACTAAGATCTTAAATGTCGGTCTGTTTGTTTGTGTTTTTTTGTAACACAGGTGTCAATGGGGACCACCTATGGAACCCAGTAGCAGGAACAACATTTTTCTACAGAGAAATTGGAACCCTCATGAAATGAGACATTAAAACATCATTTGAATATTTCACTAAAACCATTAAGATGTGATAATAGAAAGAAGGAGGATAAACAATGATGGAGGAAGAACTCTGGCTTTTATTTAAGTAGCATCTACAAAACACTCACTAGTAAAAGTATAAATGTGTAATCTTCAAAATATAATTATAATACCAGCAGCAAAGATGGAGAATGAAAGGTTTCAGAATAAAATACAGCTCTGGGCTACTAATTACTGATCATTAATATGTTCTTTTACAGCTTGCAGAAATTATTTGATTTGATTTATTTGCACTTTTGAGTAGTTTCAACTAAAATAATGTATTATCAGTTACCAGGTAATTGTATTCAGTAATATGAATTGAGTCAAAAACATGTAGTTATGTGAAAATAAATGGAAGTGTCGTTACAGATTATTTGTATAATGTATTAGGACCTGGAATCATCATCATTCATATGTGCAATAATGATTGCGGAGCATGGTGTATTTTATGAGCCAATTGTTTTTTCCTTTTGCCACTAATACATTTTTTAACACTTGAAGACACAACAGACAAACACTTGAATTTCCTGTCCCCCTATTCTTCTAGTCACATGGCTTATAGTGAGTAGTATACATAAAAAAAACATCGTCCGTTTAAAGTGTTAGTGAATAGTAGGATTAGTCGTGAAATACTTTAGTAAAGTTTGTCTACTTATAGTTCAAATCTATGGTTCAAATAGATAGTAGTAAAAGTGCGTGGATACAGTTCTCATAAGAAGCGTTAAAGTCTCCTCCACACCACATGGTGGCAGCATAACGCAAGCAAACACAAGAAGCGTCTCAGTACGCGAGTAAACACGGAATAGAGCAGAGGAGCGTCTCGTTTCGAGGCATCGGCACGAAAAACCGTCCTGAAAATGAGTTTTTGTTACTGTTTTTCTTGTTAGTTATGTGTGTGCGCCTCGCAGCGGCGTGAGTCACAGAGCTGTGCGCGTTTTATCAGCAACAGAGCGATAAATAGTGCTAGCCTGGACGCTTGTAGTCGGGGAGCTAGTTTTTTTTAACTAGTTAGCATCGATGAGGGCACCCAGCCTCGCCCTCAGTGCTGCAAACAAGACTGACCAGCTGGTACTGAGTTAGTTACCGGGCGGTCTGTGGGAGAAAGAAACCAGCAGAATGACAGGTGAGTGAAACAGTGAAGCAGTCTTGTGACAGCGCTAGTATTTGTTTTGTTGAAATGTGAAAGTAACTCCTCGGTTTACTCAGATGATGTCCTGCTGGATGTTCCTGTTATCCGGCAGCTGTACCACTGGGACTGTGGCTTAGCCTGCTCCAGGATGGTCCTCAAGTAAGAGCACATCAAGGTTTTTACCTTCAGAAGTCATGTTTTTGTTACACTATGTACTGTAGCTGCCATACAGACTGCAGTGCTTACTGTACTGCCTGTCAGCAGGCTCTTTTCTGAATTGCAAATCAAAGGTGCCTTGGCATTGTGTGAGGGATTCACACTCTGGTTGTCTGAATGTGTAGGTACCTCCACCCTGTCAGCGATGATGAGTTTCAGAGGGCGTGCTGGGATCTGAAGCTGACAGAAAGTGTGTGGACTATCGACCTGGCCTACCTCATGTGCCATCTAGGAATCAAACACTGCTTTTGTACACAGACTCTGGGTGTAGATAAGGGCTTTAAAAACCAGGTACGTAGTCCAAACTAACAGTGTAATTCTAATCAGTTTTGAACATTTTGATAGTTACCTATGATTGTGTCTTGATGATGTTTTGTTGTTGTTTACAGTCCTTTTACAAGAAGCATTTTGATACTGAAGAAAACAGAGTGAATGAGCTCTTCCTTAAAGCGGAGAGCAAAGGTGTGGTGGTGAAGAAATGGTGAGCTTCCTGTTGATGTTGATTTACCCGCCTACTTTTTTCAGTACCTTAAAATAAATATATGACCTCAGTTGTGTGTGCCTTCTCACAGTTCTGTGTCAGTTCAGGAAATCCAGTCTCATCTGGAGCAGGGCCACGTTGCCATAGTGCTGGTCAATGCTGTGGTGTTGACATGTGAACTGTGCTCCCAGCCTGTCAAATACTGCTGCTTCATGCCCGTGGGTCAGAAGTGTTTCTGCAGGAAGCCGGACTATCAGGGTCACTTTGTGGTTGTGTGTGGCTTCAACAGAACCACTGGCTCCATCTTCTACAATAACCCAGCGTATTCTGACCGTGAGTATACTTGTATTTCTACTTCTACCATAACTGTAAGTAAAATTAATCTGTGGTATGTAAGAGACCCTCTTAGTAAATGTGAATCCTCCTTCTTAGCCTTACCTGTCATGACACTGCTCGTTGTGTGGAAGTTATTGTAGAAAAGCTGCCAGAGAAGTGGATGGCTCAAGGTTTGCAGGTGATCTGCTAGATTGAACTAGAGTTTAATATTCCACACAAATCCATACTGGGTGCACAAAATGTGCTCACTGGTGTTTTGAGCACCACAAGTAACTGCTGCCTGATTCCATTCACTTAAAAAGAAAAAAATCTCAAAGGCCGGTATCTCCAAAAGTCTTCATGTCACACTGGAATTATCAGGATGGCCATCATCCTGCTGTTGCCTCACAGCAAGAAGGTCCCCACCTGTTTACTGTGTACTTTGCCCTGTTGCAGATGGTCAAGAGACCAATTTGAAAGCAGAAGAAAATAGATGGATGGATGAATAGCACTAAAGCAAAATCCTCTTAATTTGATTTCTGTGAGCTGTTCTTTTTAAGGAATCCTCAGAAATAAAATATATATGATAAAATTTAAATAAAACCCACTGTTAGGCTTAGACTAAGAAAGCTTAAATTTTGGCACACAGCGATAGAGTCGACCCTTAAACAGCAGCTGCTCTGCTTTTGGGTTTGGTGTAATGCCACTTTTTGTTGCAGCTGTTTTCAGTCATCGTGTGATTCGTGAACGTCAATGTTTCCATTAACATTAACAAACCTTGCTTGGTTCCATGTCACCGCATGAGCTGAACCCCTCACATTGTGAATGACAGAAATGCAGAAAAAAAGCTATGTTTAAAACAGATAAACCTCTAAACGGCGGACTTTATTTGCGGAGCAGTTGTGCTCTCTTTTCTTTCTCCTCCTTAGTAGTGACAGAGTCAATTCAAGCTAGTAGCACAAGTTTATGCTGCCTGGCTTGATGTTCATTGGTGCATTTGTGCAGTTTCTGGAGTTAGAAATGGTTCATGTTTCACAAGTCATTGTTTTTTTCCATAAGCAAGACTCTGTTGATCAGAGGCTTATTTGTTGTTTCATATGAATGGAGTCGTGCATGAGAAAGGTGAACACTTACTTAAGGTCCACTCTCGTATTGCTTCAGCATAGACAACATAATATATTCAGACCCAGCACTAATCCGAAGTAATTCTAATGAATCCAGAGGGAGCCACGAGGGTGTGGATCAAATTTCATGGTAATCCAGCAGGTGTTGAGACATTACGTATAAACACCATGGCTGGTGGTATTTACTGTATGGGCACCAGCGAGTTTTATAGCAGTCCATGAACATTGCCATCTATAGAGCTAACAGTGGGAGGCAGACCCAGAGTGCACTTTTTGAGCAGCTTATTTATAAATGTGTTTTTATTTATTTAACTTGGAGCTGACAGATCTGTGTGTGTGTGTATTTTTAGGGGTGTGCTGCACCAGCGTCAATAACTTTGAGGAAGCTCGACGCAGCTATGGGACAGACGAGGATATCCTGTTCGTGTTTAAAGAGAGTTGATGGATTTGGATTTTTGTCATTATAGGAATATCAAAATGCTGCAGATCCCCAGTCTAATGACACCTCCTCCTGTCTGCTGTCACAGATCCCCCTTTTGCAGGCTTTTTTCCTCCGGTGCCAAAAAGCCTGCTCACATATATACATGTACTGTATATGCCAACACTACTTAACCTTTGAATGATTCACCCTGGGAAGAATTAGGAATCCAGGATGGATCCTTTTATTTCTGTTTTTGTGATGAACAGATATTTCAGATTCATCTTATTGTCAATGTGGAAGTTTTTAATGACTGCAGTTGTACTGGAATCTCACACTGAGTGTACAGACTTGCACAACTGTGGTAGAACTGCGGGAAACACGAGCAAGAGTAGAATTTACTAGGAAATTGTGTGCACATAATTCAGGGCCGATGTTGATAATACTTGGAGTGTTCATTTCTTTGTTCTGCTCAGTGTTAATGTGAAGCTGCTCATCCGCCCCCCCTCCAGCCTCGCCTCTACCTGCCTTTTAAAAATCCTCCCGACTCACCGCATTTTAATCAGACGATTCTGTAAACGGGGAAATACAGGAAGCAAGTCACGAGAGTATCAGGTAATTAATGCTCTAAATTGTGACTCAAATGATGAAGCAAGTTCAATGCAATACTCCATAGATGTATGGAACTCATGGACACTCAGCTCGGACGTGATGAAACGTGACTTCACCGGATTCAATTGCTTCACTGGAAAAGCAGCTCCGCATGTGTCCTGTGCCTTTGGGGAATGTGCTGGATACATGGATGCGTTAGGACTAGGATAAGTCATTTTGGTTTGTAAATGAAGACGAGGTCATTTCCTCATTGTCACGGAGTTTTATTTTTAACTTACATGTTTTTGCACTACACTTTCATACCAGACACGATTATGTTATTTAAATTATATTGCTTTTCCGAATCAAGGAAAAGTGGGTCCTGTCTGGTTGTGCTTCTGGGTGAAAACCACAAGTTTTATTTTTTTATTCAGTATAGATAGCGCTTTTATTATATGTTGTGATTAAAACATTTGAACAGCCTTGTTGTTTTCGTCTGCTTTATATAGGTTTAATAGTGAACTCATACCTTAAACCTCATGTTATAGGTCAAATCTTATATAAACAACATCAAGTGCTGTGTAGTTGGGACACTGTTTAAAAGGGAATTAAAAAGATTTGCTGTTGCCTGCACTCCAGCGTCGTCTCCGCACCTAAACAGAAAAATGAGTACGGTCAGGCATCTGTGACCACAGTGTACCCATCTTCAGATAGCTGCTTCCAACAAGAGAACATGCCAGCTCACAAAGCTCAGATCATCTCAAGCAGGTTTCTTGAGCATCAGTTTGCTTTATTCCGATCATTTCCACAATCACCAGACCTAAATCTAGTACAGCACCTGTTTGATGTGGTGGAACTGGAGATTCACAACAAGTGAGGCTACTGAATCGATGTGAACCAAAATCTCAAAGGAATGTTTATTGTATTCAAATAAGGATGTTAGCATATGTCTAGTTGAACTAGACTGGTCTAAACACTCCATTTCCAGTCACTTCTCTTTTGCTTTGTATGATGTCAGTAGGAGGATTGAAACAAACAAACAATTTCTTTCAGAGGACGAACTGAATTGAGACCCAGTATTAGATTAAAAAAAAAAAGTATTGTTTTAAGCCATTAAATACTACTGGTGGCTCCAGTAGAGTACAATGGCAAAAATATGGAAGTGAAAATGTGCACAACCCATAAACCCCATAAATTATGTCTACTGTGATTTTCCATCTCAGGCCTACTTCTCACCCAGATAACTTCCTTAAGAAGATTTATGTGTTCATTCTGAATGAAATGATAAGAATCAGTTGTTTGAAACAGGGAACCACTTTTTCTAAACCATTAAAAAGTACTTCTAATACTTCTAGTACTGCTGCATTTCAACCCTGCTGGTGCTTTTCCCCTTGTTAGCTGTCTGCCACAGGCGAGCTGCGGGCTACAACGCCAATTCAAAAGCCAGTGTGGCCTGTAGGAAAATGTCTGTTACAGCCAATGATTTAAAAGGTGATTTGAAACACCAGGTTCATAGGTGATCTTTAATTCAGCAATGTTTCAGTTTAACAGTTCAAATGAGAACAGGACAAAGGTTTGACTTGAATGTTTTTTATCACATTAAATGATAGAAATCAGTCAGTCTGACAGACGTGATCTTTGTGTCAAATTAAATCTGAACTAAGCATGTTTCCTGCTGCAATAGGCTATAATAAATGTGCACTATTTGTAGAATATGTTCTACTCTTTTACTATTTTGGGTTTGAAGTCATGCTGAACAGCTTTGGCAAGTTGTTCTGCGTACTCAGCATACCGTCCAGTCATCTGCAAAGAAAAAGACACTGAAGAAGTCAGTCAAGGTTGCAAAGAATAGCTGAAGTGAATATACAACCCTCCAGTCATTGTGCATAATTTACCTGGAGAATTGGAGGATGCACATATAGGTGTGGTAGCAGCGGACATACAGACATGTTTGAATTCTGCATACATATAATCTTTTTGTGCCACTCATTCATTACATTCAAGTATTTCTGAGGGAAATATTGTTCTTCTCATCTTTGTTTTTGGAATAATACGATCAGAGATTTTAAATGAAACTTTATTTCTAATCAAAATTTCTAACATTTTAAAAGGTTACAATTTGTTAAATTTACCTTGAAACTCCACTTGTCATTTATTTGTCTATTCAGGTTGAGATCCATTTCTACCACGAGCAGCCCATCTCGGGTCCTAGAGAGGCCTGGCGTGCGACTGCCGTCGGGAGCTGCCACGTAACTGGACCCATAAAAATGTCCGAAGTCGTGGTGAGCTGAAAAAGCCAAGAAAATTGAGCTAAATCAGAGTCAAAATGTAGTTATTTGAAAAAGTGATTTGAAGTTTTGATATTTAAAAAATTAAAACATGATTTTTTTCTTCATAAAAAATTATTTTTATTCGAGTCCAAAAACTGCACACAAAAAAAAAACACTTTTTCAAATCAATAACATTTTTGACCCTGATTTAGCTCCATGCAAGAACACCAAATCATTTTCTCTTCTGTTCATTAAGGACACCTTAAAGAATTAACTCCCTCAGGCAGAATTAGCTTCATCCGCTTCACCATACAGTCATTTTTTGATAACACCATATGAAGAGATACGTGCATACATCCTGGGACTTAAGAAAAGAAAACCTTTACCTTTTTTCCCATCACCAGACGTGAATTCACTTTTGAAATGTTCCTGTAGAAAAGATTATTTTTGGCATGATTTCATATTTTGTCATTCATCACAAATATGTTGGAATGATTCCTGCAAACTTACTGTCCCAACACGGTTAATGGCACACGTAAAACAGTGGTTAGCGATTGCTGCATTTCTGGCCTCTATAGACCACATGGGTTCACTGCAGAGAAGAAACAATATTATCATCGCATTATTTAGATATACTATGTAATAATGGTAGCGGCATTTCAATGATAACATTGCTTCAACCTGAATTCAGGGTCTAGGTATGGCAATCTGAGTATTTAATCTAACCTTTTTCTGAACGTAGGAATATGGATGACTAAAGCACATTATCAGTTACCACAATACCTGGATCACAAGGGCTGTCTGCACCATAGAAAGTTTACTGTTCCACTATTATTTTTGCATTTTCTTAGCTTACCACTGGTACCATGTGCCAGCAAAACAATACTGAACACCATGGACATGGGGAGGGGGGCTCCCTTACCTCAGAGCTCCAACTGTAGCCGAGGGGTTGAAGATGATCTCAGCTCCATTCATGCTGTACATGAACCAATTGAGTGGATGATGACGGCCGTAGCAAATATTCACAGCAATCTTCCCAAACTGTGTCTGGAACACTGTGTGGCCAGTGTTGCCCTCCATGTAATATGTAGACTGAGTAGAAAACACGAGACAATGACAACAGCAGTTTTTCAGTTCCTGCACAGCCACAGTGGATTGTTTAGATCACTCACCTCATTAAAGTCCCCGATCCTGGGAATGTGGTTCTTCCTGCTCTTTCCCAGCACGTTTCCAGAGTTGGAGATGACCACCGCCGTGTTCCACAGGGTGCCGTGTAACTCCTCTCTCTCCAGAATCGGTGAAACTATGACCATGTTGTACTTTTTGGCCAGCTAATTGTAGAATTGCAGAACTGTTAGGTTTGCAGTCCCCAACGTATTAACCACGCTGCAGCAAAGCTCTACAATCTCACCTCTTGGCAGAAGCGTGTGGTGTTTCCTTCTTCAGCAGACTCTGCGAACTCTGTCCATGGTTCTTTCTCACGGGTGCAGAACGCAAAGGGCATGGCTGATAACGAAAGAAACAAAAACCCCAGTCTCTGTTGGTACCTATTCTGTATGTTTGTTGGATAGGTTTAGAATTCTTGCACATGGACACTCACTCCAGGTCTCCTGAAAGCAGACAATGTTTACACCACACATGGCTGCTACCTCAACCATTTCACCAATTCGGCTGTGCATGGCACTGATCTGTGAAGGGAGAGCAGTGATAAAATATTAACACCAGTCACTTCTACCAATGAAATGGAGCAATATTATTCATGGTATTGATGCTTTTCGTCAGGTAAATTATTTAAGCAGATACATGTTGAGTACTTCTCTTGAACAATGATGTACATAAAGTGTTTTACAGAAAGTCATTCAGTCACCTTACAGCTTCCTGTCTGTATCTCTCTGCTAATGTACCTCAACAGGTTTGGTACATGTGGGCTTCTGGTTAGTACTGTAGTGTGTAACTAGTAACCTGATCCAGGACGGGGGCATCAGTGGGCAGAACAATGTGGTGCTGAATGAGTCCCACTCGGATGTTTCTGGGTGGCCTGAGTTGTTCCTGTGCCGCATCAAACTTATATCCTTTAAGCTCAAAGTCTCGCTCAGAAGCAGCTTCCACAGCACAGGCTGAGAGGTCCAGCTTCCTGTAAGGAGGAGGAGTTTCAGCTCCTTAACATGTGCCACCCTTTTTTGACTCAAAGGCTACATCATTATCAATAAAGCAGATAAAAGACCAGGAGTTGATTTGAGGTGTGGTGCTTGCATTTGGAAGATTTTGCTGTGAACAGACAACGTGGACAAAGTAGCTCTCCATGCAAATGAAACAAGCCAACCTTAAGCTGTGAAAACAGGAAAAAAAACATCCGAGAAATTGCTACAGTATTAGGAGAGGCAGAATCTACTGTTTGGTCCATCCTGAGAAAGAAAGAAAGAAAGCACCATTAAACTCATCAATGCAAAAGCACCGCACACCCATGGAAGACAACAGCGGTGGATGATCGCAGATTCATTTTCATGGTGATGAGAAACCCCTTCACAACAGCCAACCAAGTGAACAACACTGCTGTCCTGCAGCTTTTAGATGCATCCCTACTCCAACACAGCTGAATCAAATGGTTGGATTACTCTTCAGCATGCCATCAAGTTTGGGAAAGGCCTGATAACAAGTCATTCATTTGATTCAGATGTGTCAGAACAAGGATGCGTCTAAAAGCTGCAGGACAGTAGCTCTCGAGGATTGGATTTGGACACCCCTGATCTAAAGTGTACTAAAAAAAAGTGTAAATTAAGGCCATCATTGCTATCAAGAGGTTTTCAACCAAGTATTAGAAATGAGCATTTTATTTTCAGTTATTGAATTTGTCCAGTTACTTTTGAGCCCCTGAAATGAAGGGCTTGTGTTAAAAAATGCTTTACTTCCTCACATTTTTATGCAATTGTTTTATTCAACCCAGTGAATTAAAGCTGAAAGTACGAGTTGTTTCATTTAAAATTCATTGTGGGTAATTTACCGAACCAAAATTAGAAAAAAGTTGTCTCTGTCCAAATATTTATGGACCTAACTGTTTGTAGGGTTTTTTAGTCTATACATTTATCAAACCTGTCTCTGTGCTGGCTGTAAGTTATCCTTCAGCTTGATCAAAGTCCACTGAGCAGAATAATAATTTACCAGGAACCAGAACAACAAAGAAGGAAACATAAAGAGAAACGGGAAAGCCCGATACTTCCTTTAGTAAATTTAAAAGAAATGCAGTATAAGTACAACAACTCACTTCGTCTCCTTCCCAAATAAGATGCGTTTCACCTCCACCAACTCGGCCTCTGGCAGATGGGACTCCAGAGATTTCTCCAGAGATTCAAACTCACATGCGGACATCTCTGCAGGTTTCTGTTGGTTTTGCAGCTCGACAGCAGAAGCAGCAGTATTTAATGGGTTACTCTCGTTATATAATCCTTAGTGATTTCGAAAGACCACCCAGCTGTGGTTTGTGGAAGCCGGTCATTGACCTGAGACACGGCACTGCTGGCTGTGGCGTTTGTGTTGAGCTGCAGATTAACCGAAGAGTTTTCTTGAATAATAAATGTGTTACCAAACTTAGGAGCAGGCTGAGCAGTAGCTATACTCTTCAATATTTCCACATCCTTCTGTAACAGCAAAATGAGAACAAATTTAAGTTTGCTGATTGATATTTAATATCAGTTTTTTTCATTTTTCTCCTTGCAGCACAGCAAATCAAAATAATTACTCACAAATAAAAATCGGTGTAGAAAATAGCTTTAAAACACTGGGCATGATTGTCATGTGCATCTCTGTGTTCTATTGGATGCTGATGCTGCACAAGAGTTTAAATAAATCAGTGAGTAAAAGTTAAAATCCCATCCAAATAGCTCAACAGTCCACAATCTGTATAATCAAAAAATACATTCAAAGAACCTAAATTATATCTAGAGATTATATTGATCGTAAAATGGCTTTTTTCAGGATCATATACATTATATATTTTAGATTGCGACTAATGATCTTTTGACATATATATGTTTCTTTAATGTTGCAGCGTCTGCTGATTTTAATGTAGATCATCTGGAAAATAATAAGTAAATAAAGATTCGAAATAAATGGACTGGAATATTAAAGAACAAATATTTACCTCCAAATTTATAAAAGTATCATAACACTGAAGTGCAAGTATATTAAACCCGTACTTAAGTAAACTGCTAAAGGTACTCAGTTCCTACTGGTCCTATCCATGTGCTAATCCAGGGGTGTCAAAGTCATTTAACATTGCGGTCCACTTTGACTTTAAGTGGAGCCAGACCAGTGAAACTCCCCTTGCTGTCAGTGTAAAGAAGTTACATAGTTAACGGTTTTTCTACATGATAAAGAAAAAGCTTCTATGATAAAGAAAGAAATCAGTGTTTAAGATTTGGCCAAAAGTGTTTGATACGAAAAATAGGTTTTGGCCACTAAGAATTTGTTTTAGAGAATGGAGTCTAGTGTTTTAGCAATTCAGAAAAATTGTAATAGCTGTCATTAGTTCATTTGTTCTCAATAGCCAACATATTTCAAGGAAACTGAAATTGAATGAGTTGTTTTAAATGTAGCAAAAATTTAAAAACAAAGAAAGAATACATGTTTCTGGTTTATCAGTCATGTTGTGATGTAGGCAAGGCTTTGGGAAGTAGGGTTGCTGAGAGAACTACAGCACCCCCTGGTGGATGGTAAAGGCAACCCAGATAGCAAGACGACATTAAATTGATGTTGATTTTTCATCCGATCCGTCGTTATGGTTGAAATGCCAATGTTGTAACAACATTGAAATACCGTGGTAAACCGACGGTCTTACTATAGGGACGTTGTAATGATGTTGATTTACCTTTGTTTTTTTGTCATTGATATTTGATCTTTTTGTAGTCGACCAGGTGACAACAACAACGTCGAGAAAACGTCTATTTATAGTTTACCATCATTCGGCGCCGGTGTTGTGCCAAAAAGTGATTGTCTGCCAAAAACTGATTTCCGGTATTTGCCAAAAAGCATTGCTCATATTTAAAGTGCTATAAGTAACTTGTTGGGCTATAATATGTTAAACATATGTCAAATGCATCCCTTATGGATGACATAAAGTCATCTTGAGCCACAAACAACATTCGTGTAGCAAGATACAAGCCGCAATCAGTTTTTGGCAGCGACTTTTATATAACCTTTATTTATGCAGTAAAAAAAATCTCATTAACATTAAAAATGTATTTTGTAAGAGTAAGTTGCCCAACAAGACAGCAGAAATGGCAGCAAATATCACAATAGTTCTGTAAAAATATTTTAAGTGGGGATAAAGGACCGGATTGGTTATAATGTAAGTACAAGTTGTAAAGATACTTAAAAAACAGATAATGTTTTAATTCTTTATGTAACCCCTTTGTATCCCCTGTTCACCGAAGTCTATTTACGAACATACGTAAAGATATTACACATAAAAAATACACAGAAACACTGGAAATCAGTTTTTGGCAGACAATCACTTTTTGGCACAACACTGGAAATCAGTTTTTGGCAGACAATCACTTTTTGGCACAACACCCGGTCACCATCAAAAAGCCATCGATTTGTAGTTGAGCGTTAAATTGCATTGCAACTGAGCGGGTATAAAGTACCGGAGAAAGTAAAAAAAATTTGTTCTTTTGTTATCAATGACTTTGGTCTAGTTCACCAGCTTTAAAAAATCGTGTCGACGTGCAATTTATGTATAGTTGACCGGGAGCAGCGATCACTTGGACTATTCCGCAGCACCCCTCTCAGTGGTACATCCCTCCAGGTAACCATTGTCTTGTACAGTAGAGCGGGACATTAGATTTACTTTCAGCGGAATTGACCGGAGAAGGGGCATCAGTTCATGCACTGCACTGGCCTGCACCACGATTAGTATAAGGTAAGAATGAATGAATTTTTTTCTATTCGTTATTTTGACGGTTGCATTTGAATAACAGTAAAAAACTCGTTAATGTAAAGTTTCGGACAAAATGTTTGAGCCCGAAATTGTGTCTACTTTCATCTTACAATCCGGCAACAAATAAAGTGCACTGCGAACAAAGTCTATCAACAAAGAAAACATTTCGTTTCATACTTTTCCGTGATATTCCCTTACAAAGCTAGCTTTAACGCTTCGAGGGTTCCTTTGTTCTTGCCGTCGCCTCGGCGCTTGACCCAGACTTTCGCTCTGTAGTTGCTTTTTAGCATAGTACTACAAAAATTTTTAAAACTGTGATATATGATTGATAAACGTAAAGATAACTGTATAAATGTGTTCAATGACTTTGTTACTTTTAATGATTGGAGAGCACCCGCTTCAATTCGCACTCAATTCAAACTTTAGTTGCACGCTCACCTAACTTGCGTTTGCACCTTTTGTCCACACGTAAACTGCGTTTTCGTTAACTGAAAACTGAGATTTTTAAAGACGCCTGCTGGGGTGGATATTTTTCGAAAACTCCGTTTCAGCATTTACGTGTGGACGAGGAAAACGGAGAAAACGCAGCAAAGGTGTGCGCCTATTTTGATGTCACACTGTACGCCACGTTTTTGTCTCGGTGCCATGAATTCCTACAATGGCAAACTTAGACAAAATACTGTTAATTTTATTATCTTCAGTGTTTAAATGCTTACATATACACACGCAGTTACTGTCCCTTCACACACAGGACTCGGTTCAGCTTCTATAAGCCGTCTTTGTATCTAGTTTTCCCTCTTTATTGACATTGTGCCCTATTTTTCCTCTTTTTTTTCAGATCTGATTTGGTAACTTCCATCAATAAGTAAGAAACTCACGTCCTTAAATAAATTCCTAGTGTTAAACAATTTGCTTATTTGGCTATTTCCAAATATAGCACTATTTGTTTAATCTGATATACACTGACAATGACATCACGCTGGTCAAGGAGGCGCAAATTACGGAAAATGGTTGAGGCAGCAGAGTCAGATATACTCAGGCACTTTAAAGAGATGGTTGCTGAAAAACATAACCAAAACGGCAATGCACAAGTTAAAGTTAAGCGACCGCAGGTTGCGGAAGAGTCTGGTGTGTCCCACTGTTGTCACCCAGGTATAGACAGTCAAGTATTTACCAGTCGCTATGAGCAGATTTCAGAAGTATGTGAGACCTATGTATCACCCGACAAGGATAATGACTGTGACCGCAGTTTTCCCCCCCAGCACACTGACAGCAGGCATCATAATGCCCCGCCCAGCTTCCGGCACCTTTCGCCACTCCGGCAAAACACACAAAACGACACAGCTTTGCAATCTCCCCAGCATGCAGAGTCAGATGTCGAGGACTTCTTTATAGATGGTATGCTTTTAAAGCTGAATCACAATGTCATTGTGCTCTTATCTTCAAAACACCAGTTTATACTCCTGAATGTCATCTTGTTGTGATTTTTTTTTTTTTTTTTTTTGTGAGGCCACTATTACAAGGCAAGTTCGAAAATCTTGGAATTTCACATTTTACATGGTATAAATTGTAAATGGCCTATATTTGTACAGCGCTTTAACTAGTCCCTAAGTACCCCAAAGCGCTTTACACATTCAGTCATCCACCCATTCACACACAATTCACACACTGGTGATGGCAGCTACATATAGAAATATCAAATATATGTGACACTTTTAGCAGTTAGAACAACTTATACTTGAATGCAGAATGTTACACCATCACTTATGGATCTATTAGTTTTTCGCCTCTCACTGCTTAAGCCATTAATCTTTCTAGAATTGTTCTTTGAAACAGATGCGACCTCACAAAAGATGTTAACGATGCTGTCAGACCTGACCAGAGCAGTTAACGAACTCCGTGAGGAGGTCAGAGCCATCCGCCATCCCTGCTGCAATGAATCGGTAGATGCTGGGGTACTGCCTCTGGATTTGCCCTTGCACAACATTGAGGAGCTAAACAATGCAGAGGCAGCTCTTCAATCACAAGAAGCAAATAAGGCAATGGTAAGTATATAAAGGTTATGTACACTTTGTAACTATAAAGTGTAATAGCTGTCAGATGTGATTTAAATATTGATTATACACACAAGCACTTGCATACACATTTAGGACATGAGACACGCTAATTCCATCTCTTAAAATGTGTCTATAGGTGAGACGCTTTGCCTTGATTGGAGGGACCACACTGGAGGGCTTATGCCATTACAAGCGAGCTGGCCTCGGTACTAAACTGGGCAGGGAAAAAAACCAAGGACCAGACAAAGCAAAAAAGGGTATTTAAAGATACAGCGCTGTGCAGATGCATATTTGGTAAGTTTTACTGTTTATTGTAGTTTTATGAGCCTAAAGTGAACAATAAAGGGATCAATTGATCTGCTGGGTGTGTTTCACATTTCCTATGTCTGGTTTTTGCTATATTACTTTGTCTTTGCTAATAACAAGACTTTCATGTCTGGTTAATCTGGAGATGGAGTCTTTGGTCTTTGGCTTGTTTAGTCCTCGGGTTGTAGTTTTTACAGCCCGAGGACCCCATGTTTATTTTGTTTTAAAGGATACACGACACACCATGCTAAGACTTATCACTTTTTCCGCTCATAGCTCTTTGGGAATCAAATGCGGCAGATTTACGCCTGGTGACTTTCAGGTTTATCAGCCTATGAGTTTACATACTTTCTCCCCGCTGAAGACAGTTAACAAGAGCTTATTCATGTGCTCTAATTCACTTTTGTGCGTGTGTGTGTATTTTTGTCCTAGATGGCCTTACGCAGCAGTTAGGGGCAAACTCTATGTCCGAGTTCGTCTTTGCACAAGCAGTGCAGAAATGGCTCCGATACGCCCCAGATCGTTTGGGTGGTGCAGGACGCACATCATGCATCCCCATCCCAGAGTAAAAAATTACAAACTTCTGTGAAACATATAAATGTAAATAGGAAACTGTCTTTTAATAAAGTATTTAGCAAACAAAAC